CACACACACACACACACACACACACACACACTCTCTCTCTCCCAGGCACAAATAAATGCAACAAATACAAAGATCACAGTAAAACACCTAAGTTTTCAACTCCAAAGAAGTCAGTGGAAAAAAAAGACGAGAAATCTTATATGTATTTGGAAATTTTACCTCTAAATAACAATGAAAATCTTCCATAGAGAGATATATCAGAAACATGGGACATATGGTTTTGTAGGAACATCAGTGGCCATGGTGATGCTCTAGCTTTTCCTCTCAGATGTCCACTATCTGGACATGTAAGAGCAGGTGCTTAGGTGATCTGCCCAGAGATGCTAGAGAAACACAGTAAGAAATTACTCATCGGTCCATTAGACCAAAAGACTGTGGACTTATTCTGTGGAGTACCAAATAAATGGAGATAAATGGAAATTACTGTTATTATTTTCAGTGATGCTGTCAATCTCATCTTAAAAGATCTTTTCAGCTCTTACAAGCATTTTGGTACATTTACATTTTCAAGTTTTGATAAATAAATGATAATGTGTCCTTATGATGAAGTATCATTAAAATATGTAGGAGAAAACAACACTTTGCAAATTATATTCAGCTCTCCCTTTTAAGGTTTACCCATGATGGGATCATAGTACATCTGAATCCAAATATCTGCTATAAAATTTTATATTATTTTTAATTTAAGGCTGGGAAAAGATGGCCTGAATTCAGTCTCCAGGACCTACGTGGTAGAATGATAGTAGTGCTAAGTCCTATAAGTTGCCCTCTGACATCTATATGAGGACTGTGGCATGTATGTACTCACCTAACTAACTAAATAAAAACAATTAAAATGTAAAAAATGTACAATCTATTTACATATATGTAAGTACCTTGATCCATCTACACACAGTGTATTATGGTATATGTGCATACATGGGTGTGTGCATATATATATGTGTATGTGTGTGTGTATTTTTTCACAACCTATTTTATTTTTCATACTGTCTTCAAGAAAGAATACCAAATTACATATGCAGCTTTGAAAGATTTCTGTTGAACATATAATGCTGTCATGGCATTTTTAATAACATGAAATATTCTTTACAATGTCCTGTATATACCATGAAACTATCATTTGTATTTAATGTTTCCAATCCTTCTGGAAGAATATAACATAATTTGTTTGACTACTTCTATGATGTTAGACATTCAGGCTAAATGGATTTAGTCTTTCCTTTAATAAAATCTTTTTTATTATTTTAAATTTAATTTTATTATTTTTATGTGTCTGAGTGTTTTCCTGCATATATGTCTGTTTGTGCACCACATGTGTGCAGTGACTCAGCAGACCAGAAGAGGATGACAGAGCCCCTGGAACTGGAATTACAGCCAGTTGTAAGTTACAATGTGGGTGTGGGGAATCAAACCTGGATCCTCTGGAAGAGCAGCCAGTGCTCTTAATCACTGAGCCATCTCTCCAGCCTCACTTTAGTCTTTCTTAAAATCAGGTTTCAACTGGGTTCCTGATTTTTCTTCTTATGCTAGATTCCAAAATGTGGCTTGATATTACAAATAATATCATTCCCTCTCAAACTAACAGAAGAGACTTTTCAACAAGCAGTATTTTGAAAATTTGCTACAACTAGTTTAAAAATTGCTAAGAAGTCCCCCAGAGATTCTGGGAAAATTTACATACTGTGGTTGCATGCAACTGTGTGCAGGCCAATGCTTAGACCAGGCTGATCTGACAGGTTAGAACCTTGGTCATGATGAATGGGATCTATATTCATGCCTTAAAATTCCGTACTTTTTTTTTTTTTTGGCCCAGTAATGAAACTGGAAACAATATGACTCCAAGATAGATGAGGGAATCCTGGCAGAGATGAGGCACTCTCTGGCACATATCTAGACTGGCCCATCTGCTGAAATTATTGTGTCTATGCATGGAGGAACAAACAGAGGCAGGGGAGGAGACATGTATAAAACAGCAACTTCTAACTTGTAATAAGTTTCAGTCACAGTATTTCATGGTATAAAATAGCTGAGATTATATCAGATAGCAAGGGTGAGAAACAACATTTTATTGAAGGGTATAAAACTATACTTATATAAATATAGAACTGGACCTTTCATAGTTTGGGAAGATAGTATTGTATGAATGTTATTGGCCACATACATGCCTAAGTGAAAAATAGTTATCAGGCTAACTGGTATTTTAATGAAAGTATAACGATTCTCTTCAATAATCAAATGTTAGGTATATATTATTTTTAGTTTTCTGCTATTTTTACTGCTGACTAGACACCCTTGTGATTATTATGATTATGATTATGATTATGATTAATTTAAAATTTACTCTTTAGTACATGATTATAGATAAACCATACAGGATTCACTATTGATCTTGATAGAAATGGATTTAGATATAAAATTTTACAGCAGATATATAGATTCAGATGTACTGTGATCCCATCATGGGTAAACCTTAAAAGGGAGAGCTGAATATAATTTGCAAAGTGTTGTTTTCTCCTACATATTTTACTGATACCTCATCATAAGGACACATTATCATTTATTTATCAAAACTTGAAAATGTAAATGTACCAAAATGCTTGTAAGAGCTGAAAAGATCTTTTAAGATGAGATTGACGGCATCTCTGAAAATAATAACAGTAATTTCCATTTATCTCCATTTATTTGGTACTCCACAGTCTTTTGGTCTAATGGACCGATGAGTAATTTCTTACTGTGTTTCTCTAGCATCTCTGGGCAGATCACCTAAGCACCTGCTCTTACATGTCCAGATAGTGGACATCTGAGAGGAAAAGCTAGAGCATCACCATGGCCACTGATGTTCCTACAAAACCATATGTCCCATGTTTCTGATATATCTCTCTATGGAAGATTTTCATTGTTATTTAGAGGTAAAATTTCCAAATACATATAAGATTTCTCGTCTTTTTTTTCCACTGACTTCTTTGGAGTTGAAAACTTAGGTGTTTTACTGTGATCTTTATATTTGTTGCATTTATTTGTGCCTGGGAAAGTGTGTGTGTGTGTGTGTGTGTGAGAGAGAGAGAGAGAGAGAGAGAGAGAGAGAGAGACAGATAGACAGACAGAGAGACAGAGACAGAGAGACAGACAGAGACAGAGACAGAGAGATATCTTGTGGGAGTCTGTGCTCTCCTTCCACATGTGGTTCCCAGGGACTGAACTCAGCCATCAGGCTTGGTGGCAAGCACCTTTACCTGCTGAGCCATCTTACTGGTTCAAAGATACCTTTCTCTGTTACAAATATTCGACCAGATCTATGAGTGCCCGATCTGCATTGCTTGGCTCTTTTCTGTCACCTTTTGAGCTTACTGAGTAAACTTGCACTTTTTTCTCCCAAGATGCAATCTGCATGGACATCAATTAACAGTACTACAGAAAAGTTCCCCTTCTCTTTCTAATCAATCTTGGCTGACCCAGTGAAGCTATTTTCTATTTTTAGGTTTTGTTGTTTATGAAGCAGGAGTTCTAACTGATCGTTTTCATTTAATTATGTCAGCTTTTTAAAAAGATGAACAGGTCATAGGTCCTCATGTTTTATTGTTCCTCAGACAACACTGAAATATCATCTATATATCACCTATTGCCCTACCTTCTCTAGTTTTGACAGACAAAATAAAACACCAGCAGTGGTGAGGCATCTGTTTTAAATGCATATAACAGATGGCATGATTTGAACTCCACAGCAGAGAAGAACTGAAACCCAAACTTCCTCTACGAGGTAGCAGTTGCTTAACTGACGTTCTGCACACTCCTGTGGTACAAATTGCTTCCCAAACGATATGTCTTAAATTGAAACGCTCTAAGATACTTACTATCATCTCAGCTTCTGTTAGTTTTTTTTCCACACTAAAATTCCAGTTTCTGTTCTTTCATCATCAGCTACCATCTTCCAAGCTCACTAATAATTGGCAGTGGGATTGGGATTGTGTGAAGTAACTTAAAGAGATGTAGCTCTGACCTCTATGTTTTCCATTCTAAAAATAGCACTCCACAGTGCTACCATCATTGAAGGAAAATAACAGCACATGGAACAATGTCATAAACATGTTTTACCAGCTGTTTCTCCTCTCTGTTTTTTTTAACTTTTCAGTGAAATATAATTACATACTCTAAAATTCCCCAATCTTATGTGTATAATTCAATGAGTTTTCACAATATTTATACCCTTGTACCTGGCACTCCAATGTATTAGATTTTCTATTATTCCAGAAAGTTCCTTTTCATTTTTATCCAGTCAATTCCCTTCACCAGACACTTACTGCCCTGATTTTCATCACCATGGACGAGTTTTGTCTGTTCTAGCACTTCATATACACGGAGTCCCATGTATCTGATTTTTTTCCCACTCAATATAATGATACCCTTCCATGTTGTCTTATGCATTACTAGCTCATTCCTGTTTATTGCTGGGTAGAAATTCATTGTGCATATATACCACAATTTGTTTTCCATTCTTTTATTGATGAGTACCCAGTATATTTGTAGTTTTTAGCTACTTTGAATAAAGCAGCAACAAAAATTCTCTACTCGAAAGTTTTTGAAGACATGTGCTTTAATTTCCCAATTTTTCACTTCCAGGGAAGGAAACATGTATCATGACTAGTTTTATGTTCAATTTTATTAAGAAATGTTCATATGAAGCATCATTTTAGATGCCCATCAAAAATGAAAGAGCTTCCATTGCTCTGAGTCCTTGCCATTGGTGCATTAAACAATTTTGCCATTTTAGTGAGTACGTGATAGTTTCCATCTGTATTTCTGTGTTGTGTGAGCATCTTCTCATGCATTTATTGGTTATTGATAAATCTTCCATTTGTTGTATTTATTCAAGGGTTTTACTAATTTTTTGGGGGGGAGTTGTCTTTTTAAAAATTTCATTTGTAGGAGTTATTTATACATTCTGGATACACCTTAGCTATTTCTGTCTTCATTCCAGGTCTGAGCATGATTGCTCATTTTTTTCTTGTCACAACACTGATTGAAGCAAACAACACAACATGTTGCCACTTCACCCAAAAGCAGTGGTTTCACTCAGTCCCTTCTTGATGGCTCAGTGGGTCACTAGCAGAATGTTCATTTTTTAATGGTCTATTTTTTCTAATAGTTTTATTGTTAAGCTTTTATATTCAATGCCAGCATTCATATTGACATTCATGTGGAGGTCAGTGGGTAAGTTTTCGGAGCTGCTTCTCTCATTATACCATGTTGATTGCTATAACTTTATAGTAAATTTTACAGACAGGATGTAAGTTTCCAAGTTTGGTTTTCTTTTTTTTCAGAATTTTTACTCTTCATTCTGCAATTGGGGATTGAACTCAAATCATCAGGCTGGGCAGCAAGTGCTTGTATCAGTTGAGCCATATTGTTGCCTCCCATCCCTTTTATAAAATTTTTCTTATTGCATAGCCTGAGTAGTTTGTAACTAACAAATAGTAACACAATTGAGGAGACTGGTCAGTCCAAGATCAAAATGTAACTCCCAAAACTTACCTCCTTAGAGTCAACTATCCTACTGTCTTTTGAAATGTATATGAAACTATTCTACCTAATGAAAGTATGTACACATTCCATTTTAGAAACACAAATAGTAGGATACTCTACTGATATTTCCAATGGTCTTAGGTGACCCTTGTGAAAAGATCATTCGACCTTCAAAGGAGTAGTTACCCATAGGTTGAAAACCACTGTGTTTCAGGCACATGCAGCCCACACCTAGCTTTTACATAAGTGCTAGGATTTTAACTTGGATGTTCTCATTTTTCACAGCAATTGTTCTTAACCCAATACAATACTCATATTGTTCATCAATTTGCATTTTTAAAGTTAATCATACATCTTGGAGACTTTATAGATGTCTTTTAAAAGAAAAAAAACATTGAGGGTTAAAGAAGTAAAAACACTTGCTGTGAAAATGAGAATACTCAAGTTAAAAATCCCTAGCACTTGTGTAAAAGCTAGGTGTGACTGTGTGTGCCTGAAACACAATGGTTCTTAACCAGTGGGTCATGATCCTTTCGGGTCAAAGGACCCTTTTACAGGGGTTGCCTAAGACCATTGGACATACCAGATATTTATATTACAATTCATAACAGTAGCAAACATACAGTTATGAAGTAGCAACGAAAATAATTTTGTGGTTGCAGGTCAGCACAACATGAGGAACTGTATTAAAGGGTCACAGCGTTAGGAAGGCTAACAACCACTGCTCTACTCCAATCATAGAGTGGTCAGGGAAGACAGGTGGAGCTTGCTGGCCAGTCAGTTTAGCCTTTAAGTTCTGCTTCAGGGTCATTGAGGGACTCTGTCTCAAATGCAAAGTGGAGAGTTGTAGAGAAAGACACCTGACATCCTCTATCATACATATTCATGGGTGTGTGCACCCCCTCATGCAATATACCCCACTTCATACAAACATATGAAAATTTGTTTGCATACAAATTAGGCTGGCCAGACAAGGCAGAAGTACATACCCTGTCTTCTAATACCTCACTTGGTGAATTACGGAGCATGTTCTCAGAGTAGAAGAAACTGTGTTCAACATTCATTTCAGGAATGTAGAATTCCTGTGGTGGAGGATAAGCTTAGCTAAAAAATGTTTAGGTTAAGTGAAAGCCTAAGTGTAGAAGGTAAGGAAAGAGAGGTGGCTGTAGATTGTTGGAGGCAGAATATAAATTGTAGAAAGAGATTTCCTCTGAGGTGAGAAAGTGAGAAACTCATAATTTTTGAGATATTAGTTGACAGGTAAAGTAAGATAATTTAAAAATAAGCATAGTGAAGTTTGTTGTGGAGATCTTTTAAGTTTTTTAAAGGCCTTGAGCAAAGACTGGCATTGGTATTTACATTGTGTTTCTCTGAATGTGGCAAAACTCTCTGGTCTAAATCCTACAGACATTAGTATTTATTAGGTTTCCCTTAAATTGTACAGATGTAGACTAAAACAAGTATGTATAGATCAATAGAATTCAAATTAGTAAGTTTATATAACTAAACACATGCAGTTTTGCTGGAACAAATGTACTTTTTATCCTTTTTATCTCTAACATTGGAAAGATATTAATGACATGTTTTACTTATTTACTTCTTTATAATTAAAGAATAATAGACCATCATTCAGGTCATAATTTCCTCCCATTGTCGTTGTTTTCCTTATTAAATGAACATCCTAATTATTAATCTGCTGTTTTGATGGAATAATCAGTTTGGGATGGACTTTAAAAAATATGATAGTGAAAATTAGAAAAATTCATTTAACAAAAGTCTATTATGTATTCTGATTTCACATAATGTGAAGTATTGTAAGTTGGTATGGCCAGAAAGAAAACTCAAGCAATGTATCACTTCTTAGGGTGAACCCGTGAATGCATTCCCACTATTATTTGTTTCCCTCTCTCCCCTTTCTTCCACTTTTCTGTTTCAAATTGCTTTAAAAATTTTGCTTCTACAGTGTTCTATGAGGCTAGCTTGCTTTTGTTTATGAAGGTCTGAAACATCATCTTCTGATTTCCTATTAACCCTTGACAATAAATTTAACACTTACTTACATACATCATACTATAAAGATTATGGCCAATAAAGTCTCAGGTTCGGAAAAGCAATACATTAGAAAGCAAGTAATTATTCCATGAAAGTATCTTCTCAGCACAAATTAATATTACAATATTAAGTTTTGCCTTTATACATAGTCCAAGAATGCAGGAGGACTTTGAAAGCACATGAGGGCTGATTGTTGTCATTTGAACATTGAACATTCCTCACTGGGAGAAAGTCAGATATGCTTATCACCACACTGAGTTAAACACTGTCACTCTGAGAAATGGCTTGGAAACCAAACTGATTGGAAAAAAAAAAAACACCACAATAAAAAATGACGGATATGAATGGAAGAGACAGCATATGGTTTAACGATAACACTCTGATGAGCCACAGTGTGCCATATTAGACTTCCTGGATGAATTAAATAACAATATAAAATTAAAAAAAATCTTTCAGACTTTGTGGACATTTAATAATATGTTAAAGGGGGATTCTATGATGCAAGTACAAGGACTTCCAACACAAAAATTTTAAAGATTCTTTTTTCTCCTTGGCACTCAGTGAGAGTGTATCAATACTGCCACAATTTGAATATAGGTGTTTTCTTTTTTCTTGTAAGGTGTCCTTTTAAAAAATATTCTTTGATAATTTCATATACATCTACACATATATGTATGCATTCTGTTTACTCTTACCCCATCCTATTTTATCTCCCTCCCACTGCTATCTTTCCCCCATCTCCCTGCAATCCCTCCTTTTTTACATTCATGCTCTTTTAATCTTGTGTGACTCACTGAATTTTATCAGGACCGTCTGTGCGGGCACTGGTTTGGAACTCTTCATTGGAACCTTGTGAGCTCACTGTTCGGTGCACAAAGGCTCGCCTTCCTGCAATAGGTGCTTTCCTAATTACTTACTGAATATTTGCTTATGTATGGTAATGGGAGGGAGCTGCAAATATTCAGGAGATAATAATTGGCCATTAAGTATTTTGGGACCAATGAACTATAAAGGGAATGCATTTTGGATAATAGATTCATTTATTCATACTCATGTGTTTACTGCATATATTAGGCACTAGGCAAAGTGTTGGGCATTATTAAACCAAGTAAACAAATGAAAACAACAACAACCAATATTACTTGTTATATATGTATGAAGGGAATGGCCAGAATGCAGAGATAGAGAACTTTTCTTAAATTGGTATTAGGGAAGGAGGACCATTGTACTCACTGTGAACTCAAACCTTGCAAATCAAAGGAAGGTGGAATGTGCTTAGGGGTACTTATAGTAGGAAGGTGGCTGCACTAAGTGGGGTTAGGGTGGAAAACTTTCAGGAAGCTAACTTCTGAACTCGACATTTGAGTCTTAGAGATGATTTTATGGAAGATAGTGGGAGAGAAAGTGTATGTAAATTAATAAAGTTAGGGAATGGTAGTTAAAGGCAGAGAGATTTAATTAGCATATAAATATAGGGAATGGGCAGAAGATGGAGACAGTGTTCAAGGCAAAGGTTTATGACAAAATACCAGATATTGGTTAGTTCATAAGAGGTTCCTTTAGATCAGCAGTTCTCAACCTGTGGGTCACAATTCCGTGGGGTTGAATGGCCTTCACAGGGGTCTCATATCAGATATCCTGCGTATCAGATACTTACATTACAATTGACAGCAGTAGCAAAACTACAGTTATGAAGGATCAATGAAAATAATTTTATGGCTGAGTGTCATTACAATGAGAACTGTATTAAAGGGTCTCAGCATTAGGAAGGTTGAGAACCACTGCTTTAGATGGACAAAACCATTTCTGAACTAATGAAAAAGTATAATGATAGGTCTTTAAAACTTTTTTAAAATCCTCATCTCTGAAAATTTCATTGCTTACTAGAGTTCTACTCAAATTCTGCTATAGTATATTGATTTTGCATGTTCTATGGGACACACTTAAACATGAAACGTTTTCTTCCTTTGGTGCTGGGGACAGGGCCCAGAGTCCTGCACATGCTAAGCTAGGGCTTAATCACTGAGATGTGTGCCTGACTTTGAAACATTGTTTTACAAGATCATATTTTAATGTCAGTGAGGAAAAGAAATGCCTTTGGGTAGAGGCTATGCCCCACGGAATGTCATTTTCCAAATATATTATATTGGTAGCCACATTTTCAAGGAAATTTTTTTCTATGCACATTATTCTCATTTGGGCCTACCATTTTGTGGGCCCTATGATTCATCTGTGAAAATGAGAATAATTACACATAGCAATTAAAATGAAATGACCTGTTGAAACTATCACAGCTAGTATTTATAATTTTTCTCAAACCATAAACATCATTCATTATTAATCTGGTCATGAAACCAAATGTAATCAAAATAGTGAGACAGCCCATGAGTCTCATAAAAATCAGTTTTTATAAGCGGGTTATCTTAGGGACAAATGTAATGACTCAATAAATTCAGTGCGCAGGATCTTCTGCAGTTCCATATATCACTTGCATCATTTTATCTTGTCAGTTCCTACAGTCTGCTACTAAATAAAGAGAATGTATCATAACATCTC